AGCACTTTCATTTTCTCATTCTTGCTGCTGTTTTTGTTGCCTCTCCAGTGATTAATCTTTGTTATTGGACGATGTTTTTCCACGTGGAGGATGAGAGCTGACGAGTGTGTCTGCATGTGTGCAGCTCGGGTAGATGAAAGTGGACTGGAGCTTAGAGACACTGAGTCACTCCCCGGATGGCTCACAAACAACCGGATAAAAATAGAAAAAGAATGAAGAGGAAGACAGACAGAAAACGAGATGAAGGGAGGCAGGTGGACCGACAGAGAGGGGGACAGGAACAACGGGCAACACGGCCTGACTGGCAGGAAATCAATCATCTTGAACCGAGGATGCAAACTTATCAGGGAGATGAGGGAGGACGGTAGCATGATAAATGTAAATATTGAGATGTGCACAAAAGGGAGAGGCTGAGAGTGATCATTAGAGACAAATGATGACACAAATCCTATGGTTGAAAAGGTGCAGCGCATGAAAAAAGGCAAAATGGGAGTCCCACAGCTACGATGTAAGAACAAAAATCATACTGGAGTGTATAAACCTCACTTTTAACAGGTCGTAATTATTCAAACATGGATGCAGTCTGAACTAGTCCCCATCCATAAAAGTCCCTCTGAGGTGGAAAAGCAGCAGAAGAATATTTAGATGATGACATGAGTGGAAATAAACAGACTTGATGAAAAAAATGGGAACAAAATGGCACAAATGAAACAAAATCATCTAATTATTATTATTATTATTATTATTAGATCTCTTACCACTGCTATGCTGATGATACCCAGCTCTAGCTCTCATTCCCACCTGATGACCAAACAGCTTCAGCACCAATCTCGGACTCACTGACACATTGAGGTGGATGAAAGTCCATCACCTCCATCTGAACCAGGGGTGGGGAACCCTGGTCCATCGAGGGACGCCATCCAACATATTCTAGTTTCAACCCTGATTCAGCACACCCGATTTCCATCAACAGGTGAGCAACAGGCTTCTGCAGAGCTGGACGACCTGCTGGACAGGTGAATCAACCACCGAATTCCTTGGAGCAGACCCATGCAGGACACCAGCCCTCGAGGACCAGGGTTCCCCATGCCTGATCTAAACCTCCAGAACCGCGCCGCTCATCTTCCCAGCCAAACCAAACACGCAGCTCTACATTCCAATGCCTCCATCAAAGGTAGCTGGGCATTGTGACCATTGACCAGCTGACCTTTAATGGTCACGTGGTCTCCGTTACACATTCACGCTACTTTGCAGGCCACTCTACTCCTGGTGCAGCCTGTGGTTATCTCCTGCCTTCACTACTGTAGAGACCACCTAACTAGTCTCCCAGGCTGTACTGTAAAAGCACACATCACCCCTCCCCTTAGCTGCCTAAATCAAATTCAAGCCACTAATGTTTGCCTCCAAACTCCTGAATGGAACATGAGCCGGCCACTCCGGTGAAAGGAATATCAGCTACCTGTGGCATCACCATGCTTAAGACTATCCAGACTCCGTACCTGTGTTGTTCCAAAATGGTGAAGGACCAACTGAGCTACCAGAACTGGAGTGTAACGGTATGAAATGACTGTTTTCCACCAAAAGTCATTCTCCCCCTCTCCTCTGACACAGAACTAGTCTGCATGAGTTATGGCCTCAAGGTCTCATGCATTTGTTTCTAACCTGCTTCTTTCCAGCTCAAGAGAAGAATGAAGAAAGGACTCTCTCCTTTTAATGAATTAAAGAACTCTATTTTAATAAAGCTAATCAAACAAAGTGTTAGTCAATAATAAGATGTGGCCAATCTGTGAAATCTAAATATTAATTACTTTATTATAATCCTATAGAATATAATAAGTAATATGACTTTAAATGTTTCCACTAGGACTGATCTCACGTAGCGCTAAGACATGACACATTGCTTTACTGATCCAATGAGAATCTGCCAGATCTGACGGAGGCGTGGTTTTGGTGGTGTTCGGTAAATCTGTCATCTTTTCATTCGACCATAAACCAAAACATCCGAAGTATAAAACTATTCCCACGTCATCTTTAACGCCAGTTCAAAGCGTTCTAGAAAAGTTGTCGGAGTGGCCAATCCGTAACTTTCCTCTTCAGCCGAAAGAACCAACGACAAGCTGGATAAAATCTGTTGCTGTTCCACCTGCTGCAACGGTTCCTTTCAGAATAAAAGCTGAACCATCACGACCCCATTTTGGGTCTTGTTAGATGCCAACAAAACTGTCGTGACCCGGAAGTATCTCAAGACGGGTGGTCAGCTGCCGTGGCTGTTTCTACAGACTTCGGCTCCATAAAGGTCAAGCTGGACCTCTACACCTCCTGATCTAACGGGGATGTCCGCTAAGGGTACGTAGACCGACAGAATGGCGTCGAATGTGTTTATGAATCTCCTAACCAAAGCTTAACGTGAAGACATCACCTTCAGTTCCCACCAGAACTAATCGTTTCTTTGGATTTGCTGGTTCTGAGCAACATTCCACATCACACCATTCTCCGTCTCATTCACCTTAGTTACACCATACATTTGGTGTTAAAGTTAGTCTAGTTTTAATTTGTTTAGTAAAAAATCTTTAAACTTTTAAAACTTGACTCTCTTCTGTTGTCTCTGAGTGAATACGAGGCTGTTATCTAATCTCTGCCATAAAAAGTTCCAATCTTCTGGTTAAAATAACCCAACAGATCCATAAGGTGGATTTAATATTTCCTATGGAATCCTACGCCTTATGGTTTATTAAATAACATGTAATTTTAATCATTGCAGGAACGTCACAGTTTACCTCCAAGAAACTCTTGAAGAAGCAGCTCTTCGGAGAACATCTCCTACCCTAGCACCCATGCTGCACAACCTTTTTCCTACTCGACTGCACTGTCTTTAGGCTCTTCCCTGTATGCACCCTACTTCTACACGGTCCCTTCGGACTAGTGGTCATTCCACCTGTGGTAACTGCTTTCTAAAATTTAGGACGAGAGCATCTGCCATCATGACTATAAACAGATCTCACCAGGCAAACATCAGTTTACTTCTTAGTTGCGGGTGTTCATGTGCACATAAATGTTAAATAAAAAAAATAAATGCTGAATAAGAATGAAACTAACACAAATGTTTCCTGTTAGACGGCATAACAACGCAGTTTCACTTCAGGGCGACTTCATTAGTCATAAAAACTGAGCTAAATTTCAACTATTCAAAATGAAGTCCAGCTCCAACTCTACAACAACTGCACAGAAAACAAACTTTACAGCAGGAACGAGCGCAGCTGAGAGTCCCCGCTCGGCTCACCGATGCGTATGCGTTCAGCTTCGGGCTTAGACTTAAAACCGGGGCTTCGCCTTTCACTAATGGTCCCAGGAGGCTCAAGATGACTAGAAACGTGTGAAGAGCTCATTTACAAACACAGAAAACATTTAAAAAATGCAAACTTATTAAATGAAGTTTTTTATCTGTTTTTGCAAATGACCTCTTCACATCTGCATGACTTGTAGTGCGCTCATTCACATAAGCTACGCCGTCCCAATGTTTTTGCATTTGCCTGATTATGTGATGTCAGTCAGCACAGTCAGATTGGCTAAAGGTTGGTTTATGCTTGACGCATCCGTGAGGTCCGCACGGCTCCGTGCGGCAAAATTGCGTAATTTTAACAACCACGCCCCTCCACTCCGCACGGCCCAAACTTTCCACACCGCGCACCTGGGAAATTTTCTAACCACGCGGACGGTCGCACGCGGAAAAACATGGCGGACTGGCAAGAACTAGTATGGCAGAGGTTCGTAAATACAGACATTTGTATGATTCAGCTCTCAGAGATCACCGTGATCAGCTTCCGTTTCGCTAATGGTGCGTTCGCATTCTCCTCGGAACTCCGAATTTCCGACTAGAAGAACATGAACGCGCTCTAAAGTTTGGCTTCACTTTACTAAACGCGACGGGTGATTGGGTGAAGATGAAACCAGCGACAACGATCTAAGTGTGAGGCATCATCGTTTTAATCTGCTCCAGCAGCTAAATAAACTGTTTAAGATAACGTTAGCTTGATAAATTAGCTTCCATTGCCACCATTGTTATCAGCTAATGGTGCGCTCGGAAATTCCAACTTCCCAGTAGGAAAAATCAAATGAAAAAGGACGGCAAAAGGAATGAAGATACACAGTAAATTTAGTTCACAGTAAAGATGTTTGCTTCAGTTTAATTATCAGCTTATAAAACTACAAGGACGATGTTAAAATACAAACAGTTGTATGTTATTTATCGTGATATTTATCAAATATGGTTATATATTGAGAAATATATATATATTTAATTATAAAAGAGAATTAAAATATTAAACACTCAAAAGTATCTAAAATTGGTACCGTTAAGTACCGGTATCAATTCCTAGGTACCGGGAATTAGTACCGAATCGATTCAAATGTCAAAGGTACCCATCCCTATCGACCTCGCTGGTCAGATACGGCCCAGAGAGCACATGAGCATCTGAAACATTTAATTTGGGTAACTTCGGTTTTATAATGATCTCCAAGTACCGAGCTTTGGGTGTGGGTGATTTAAAAATTACAAGCAAAATACTTTTTTATAACTTGATGTAGCTTGTGACCATATGAGACTGTCTAAATCAACCGTTTTATCCATATGCAGTGATCTAAACTCTGTCACCACCCACTTCCCTCTCCCGTTGTGGGATTTTTAGCCTTTGACCTTCACTCGCTGCGTTTCCAAGCCAGTGAGCTCATTTTCTGGCCACTGCTTTGAATTTACTGACTCACCACTCGCGCCCGGCACTTTTCCAGTCCATGGAAAAACAATTAACGCCAACTAACATCTTAATGCGTAGAGCCAGCTTCTGCACCGTAAATTCTGCATCTAAAGACCTTTAATAGACCTGACCCGAGCTTGTTTACCCCCCTGAACTCTATAATCATCCTCACACTGTTACTGGATATTGATTCATATATAAAAGCCACTAAAACGTGTTTATTAGTCAAATGCTGTGAGAACCACTGACCTGAGCGCTGGCACTGGAATCGTTCAGGGCCCTCTGCAGGGCATGGCTCAGTCCTTTCGACAGGTTCTGTTTCAGAATCAGGTCCAGATGGTTCCGGCGAAGCTCAATGGACAGAACTGTTGGCATAAAATAATTTGTGTTTTGGATTGGGTTCATGAGCAACTCTCCTGTATGGCTCTATTAACAGCCTCAGTTTGGATAAACAAAGATTAAGCCCGGTTCACATGGCAGGAATTTTAAAATTGTCAAATTATTTTTAAAACTAAAGAAATAAAAAAAAATCAGGGATAAACTAGTTTTGGTCCTAGTGTGTGGTGTCCAGCAATGATCTCACACATGAAAATTTCCCATTCAGACAGGAAATCTTGCAAGACCAAGCACAACTTCAGAGTAAACAAACATGGCACATAGGAGCATGCGGCTTGCTTCACTCACTTTCTGATTGGCTGGATGTCACATTCAACAAGCGGCACACTTGTAAAAAAAAGGGACTTTTTGGACTTTTTAATTTTTATGCTCGCAATTGCCCCCTCAGGCCAAAAGCGTAACAGCAGCTTCAATAGTAGGCTCGTGCATGCTGTACGTGCACAATCCTTAACGAAAATAACAGCTGAGACAGTCCTCTGTGTGTGTGTGTGTGTGTGTGTGTGTGTGTGTGTGTGTGTGTGTGTGTGTGTGTGTGTGTGTGTGTGTGTGTGTGTCCCGGAGGACAGAGGACAAGAGAACGTGCAGCTAATCAATTAAATAATTTGGTTCTGTACCTTTCTCTTCAGCACAGCCGACAAAGGTTTATGATGGGTCAGTCCTCCTGCATGCTCAGATCATTCCCTTCCCTTGCTTGAAAAATTGTTCCAAAATAAAAGTTGAACCCACATCTTTTTCATCTGTGAATTCAATGCTGTTTGGCGAGTCTCAAATAAAAATTTGGGCATCTTACTGTAAAAAAATATACCATTAATGTAAAAAAGAAACTCTAAATGAACTATGTTCACATCCAGAATCAAACCCAGGTCTTCTGCATGAGAGTCTGACGTCTTACTAGGTGAGCTACACTCTAGTAACATTCACAGTATCTGTAACATTTATATCCTTGATGACAGCTGAAACAACGTCAAACCAAAGAACGGTTCGGAGCGAAAATGGCTGTTTTGTTGCTAATTTGCAGGAAATATCGGACACATCCTCACATCAGTGGTTTGTAGTTTAAAATTTTTAAAATAAAGTCGGTAATCTTTTATTATTCATATTCCCGTTAAGTCCCTCCCCTGGCCTCTACAGCTAATTGAATCATCACACAAGGGGTGTTTCTCAATGTCAAGGCGCCTTGCTTACGAGGACACTGTCCTTCCTTGGTCAAAGAAATGGTTAAATGGAACAGACTTGCATTACGTGACCGCAGCTTCCACAGTGGTCACATAATGTCACGTGACAAGGAAGATAACGTTATATTTTATACGTATTAGTTTCAATATAAATATATAACGAGACTTTTACTTTTGAAATTATGTATATGTTTATTAAATTAAATATATAAGTGAGTTACTACCCGCTAGCCACCGAAGCTGCAACCACTAAGTAACTAACCAACCATAGATAACTTCTTTGGATCTAAAAAAAATAAACATTTTAAATTAGCTGACTTACTTTTTAACTTGAAAATTGTCCCCGAAGTAGCTGCCGGCTTCTGATCCGCTGTCTTTTTGAAAATACAACGGTGTATTGTGGGTAATTTTTGGCCAAGGCTAGGCTACAAGACACCTCCCACGTGTCCTTGCTCAGCTAGCTAAACGGCTAACAAACGGAGAGAACACACGCCTCAGTAGAACATGAACATTGGAACCGATTGGAACACGTCTTGGCGGCTCCTGATGACGTATCTCCTAGGCAATGGGAGCGGGGCCAAGACATCAAGGCAAGGTTCCTTGACATTGAGAAACACCCAAGCTGTCAGCCAACACAAATGTGCCCCAGTTCCCAGCATGCACTCTGACGCACAGCTAGCTTAGCAAACCAACCTAGCTTGAAAAGCTAACTTGACCTGCAATCAATTAATGATAAACGACCCGCACTTGTATAGCGCTTTTCGGAGTCAGAGGACTCCAAAGCACTTTACACTACAGTGTATAGTTCACACACTGATGGTGATGAGATACACGATAGCCACAGCTGCCCTGGGGCACACTGACAGAGGTGAAGCTGCCGAGCACAGGCGCCACCGCTTCCTCCGATGTCAGCCTGCAAACTCCAAGCTAACTGTGGAAGAGGAGGGAGGGGAACCAAAAGGGATTTTTCTTTTGTGTGTTGGAGCTAAGTGATTAGCGTAGCATTCAACCTTACGCTACATCGGACAATAGTTTTAGCTTGTAGCATTAGCAGTGTTGTGCTAGCATCACGAGTGCCGTATTCCTGCGGGTTTTAGATATTTCCCTGCTTGAACGCCGCAGATTCGATTCAAATTAGAGTTAAACAGTTGCAGCAAAACCAGAGGAAGCTTGAGGGCATAATTCAGCAGTTAGAATCAGGTGTCAGAGCAGGAACATATCAAAAACACATGGCCGCAGAAGCCCTTTGTTAGAGTGGCTTTCAGTTCCTTTCAGAGGGGGAGGAGGAGCTACAGCCGTACAAATTCAAAATCATGTCCTCCTCTTCATGGTGACGTCATGCAGATCACGTACTGTTGCAAAGTGAAGATCGGGTCAAAAATCAGGAAGTTTACCCCACAGACATATATATGTAGACGCCCCGTGGACTGGCGCTGCCTATTGGAGCTGCCATGGTGGCCGGCCTCCATTTTAGATGGGTCTCCATTCACCCCCAGTGCATTCATTTCTACTGAGGAAGGCGTTTACCCAACTAACAACAGACATATGGATGGCATGACAATTAAATTATAAATATAATTAAACACAATAAATTTAAATATAAAATTCTGTCAGGTAGGCTAGAAAGGGCACGGCTAATCCCGCATTATCTGTTTTTAACTATGCCGGTTGTTGTAACCGTAGGCTGCACAGAAATAGGCGCAGTTGCCCACCTTGCAGTGTCTTTGGAGAGTGAGGAGACCCATCCAATATGGCGGTGATGCTGTTACGCTCCCCAGCGCCCAATGGGGTCTTTACGTAATCATGTCTATGGATTACCCCGCCATGTGAACCAGGCCTTGTCATGTTTTGTAGGATGGTTAGGACCCAAAATGCAGAACCCAGGATGACACGAGGCAGGAGTAAATGTAAAGAGAAATCCTTTCATTGGTAGGATGATTCCAAAAAGAACATGAATCCAAAGGGCAGGAAGCCAAAGTCCAAAAATCCAGGGGATGATCAGGAGATCCAAAAAACACTAAAGGAACGAGCAGGACTGACAGAATAAGGCCCTGTCCACACGTAGCCGGGGATCTGCCAAAACGTAGATATTTTTCTACGTTTTGGCCCGTCATTCACACGAAAACGGAGTTTTTTCACACGAAAACGGATCTTTTTAAAAACTCCGGCCAAAGTGAAGATCTGCGTTTTCTCTGTTTTGGGTGTCTGCGTGTGGACAGACAAAACCGGAGTTTTAAGGTCCGCAACGTCACTTTCCGCGACAAGAAATGCTGACATCACGTGTGCGACCTGTGTTTACACTAGCCGACAGGATGGAAGCCCTCAGAGCTGCGCTCGCTTTATCACTTGTCCAAGCGCTTTTTGCTTGTTTGTTTTTGCAAGCGGAATTACTGCTCCTTGCGGAAGACCACAGACGAAGGACGAGGTTAAGAACGGGGGAAGTACTGCCGCCTACAGGTCTGGCATGTCCTTAACAACGTATTTATCCGGGTACGTGTGGACAGTTTTTTTTTTAAACGAGGTGGTATGGATGCAAGTTTTTGGAGGGGCGGATATTCATTTTTCAAAAAACCCGGCTATGTGTGGACTAGGCCTAAGTCACACTGACAGCAACAATGGACCGACAAGAACAATGAGACAAGGAGAGGGCTTTATACACTGGGGCTGGAGTGATAGGAGACGAGGAGCAGGTGTGTGGGGAACTGGCACAGGTGAAAGCAATAATGAGGAGAGGAGCAGAGGAGGACACCAGACCTGACTGGGAAGGACACACACATACACACACACACACATCGAGCTGGGGAAGGACATGCACACACACACACACACACACTCACACACACCGAGCTGGGGACAAAAAAGGGCTGGAGCTACCAGGATACAGAACGTGAAGGAACACCTGGAGGGGCTGGGGATGACTGAACACAGGACCTGGGAGGAATGATATAAAGGGCCACAACAGAAGACACATAATGAGACGCAGACAACGGACACATGAGGGCGCTATGAGTTACAAAAGGAGAACCTGGAGTGGGAACTGGAGGGGCTGGGGACAAAGGGACACAGAACATGACAGGCCTTAGTTTTGATTGGACAAATGAGCTAATGGCTAATCGCATTAGGGTCGATTATAAAGTGTATTTCTGCCATCTTTAAAATCGCAAAAGCGGATCGAATTAAATCTTTTTATTAAAAGGACACCTGGAAAGCACCTGGTGAAAGTTCCTACCTGTTTTGACCCAGAACTTCTCAGTCACGTTGCATGGAAGATGGATGTCCTCGGCGCTGGTGGTGGAGGGAGATGCTGTGGTTGTAGTCAGAAGAGGTGTGGTTTGGGCTGGGACGAACACAGTGGTTGTAGGTTCCTTTGTTGTGGTAGTAGTAGTGGTGGTAGTAGTAGGGGTGGTGGTGGTGGCAGGTGTAGTAGTAGTAGTAGTAGTAGTAGTAGTAGTAGTAGTGGTAGTGGTTGATGCTGTGGTGGTGGTGGTAGTTGGTGTGGTGGTTGTGGTTGGAGGAACAGTTGTAGTTGGGGTTGTGGTGGGGGTCTGCATGGTTGTAGACAGAGGTGTAGCTGTTGTTTCACTGAGGCTTGTCGTTTCCTGTTCAGTTGTAGCCGTCGTGGCGTTTGCTGGTAGGGTTGCCGAGCTATCAATGGTCGGCACCTGCGTCGTCGCCTCTGCACTCATAACCGTTAGGCTGGTCGTTGAAGGCGTTGTCGTGGTAACCGTTGTCAGCTTGAGGCTGTCGCTGGTTGTGGCGTCCTTGCTGGTATTTTGCCACACCGTAGTGGTTCCTGGTGGCATTTTCACTGTGGTGGGGAACAACGGCGTGGAGGTGGTGGCAGTGGCTGACGGAGATGTTTTTATGGTGGTGGCTGCTGTGGTTGTGTTCCGCAAGGAGGTTCTGGGATGGATCGGCATGGTGGTGTTCCACTGGTGGGTGGAGAAAGGGCTGGTGATGTTAGCAGGAAGCGTGATGTCGTGGTCGCCCACCGTGGACAGCTGAGATTCAGGCACAGTGGGCAGATCCCAGGCCGGCAGGCTGCTCACAGACTCCTCTGCTTCAAACCAGAGACAATATTTGTTATTAATACATCAAATTTATGAACTCAAAAGCTTAGATTTGGTCAGAATTAAAAGGATGTTCCTGTTATGGCCTTTTTATGACATTAGTTTTAGGTTTCAGATATTTTATGGGTTTGAAAATGTGTAATTTTTATTTCTCTTTCATCAAGTTTGCATCAAACCATCTCAGCTTTCAAAGTAATAATTCAAAGGTGTTTAATAAATACTCATCTATCTAACAAGCTTATTTTTCAGCTCAGATCAGTATTATTGATGTAATACAAAACTATGTTATGGTGTTGTATCCAGCAACCTAATACGCTTCATCAAATATCACTTGCAGTCATTGCAGGAAGCTGGAAGTCAAACCCTTCCTAATTTTGCTTCCACAAGTAAAAGGAAAGGCCAGAAATTGGGGAAACCATTGGAGAATTTGGTGACCAAATTGAGACACAACTTAAACACTTTCAGACTAATCTCTTTGCAGTTAAAGGTGTACTAGAACAACTTTTTAATAGCTAAAAACTGTTCTTTAGGCCTCTATATAGCTTATAAAACTTTGTTGGGGCTCACAATGGCCCAGGAGCCTTGATAAACACCCAAACACAATCCCAACTCCCTACAGTGGAAAGACTGGTTTGCCCCGCTCACTCAGACAGGACATGAATTGGAAACCTAAAGCTCCTCCCCTTTCAGACGGCTCGAGGATCCCCGAAATAAAGAAAAGAAGGTTGCGGACGCACAGGAAAGAGAACAAGGGCTGCAACCTGCATCTGGTATTTATTCAAAGTCTGAGCATTTCCAGTACATCCTGGATGTTTACTCCATTCTTTCTGTTTTTCTCTCGTCCAACAATTACATTAGCAGTAGCTTGGACTAGCACTTTTCTGCAGTTAGCATTCCTGCCACCAACATCTCTATATAGCCGACTATGACGTAGGTTGGGAAGTACAAATTTAAGGGTGTGTGACTAAGTTTATGTCATGCTTAATCAGCTTTTGTCAGAATGAACCGTTACTGCACGGCCAATACATTGTCCTAATAAGCAGGTCGGGGACGGCACAGACGTTTTGGTACGTTCGACCCCCCAAGCTGCCTTTATTCCAAACAAGCTAAAGGCTGTTTTGATTTCTAAGGCCCCTCAGCTGCTCCGTGCAATCCCACCAAATTTAAATAAACATCTTGCAAACGTTTTGTTTCCATCATTTCAACAGCAAAAAAACATTGGTGACACTTTATAATAAGGGTCCCTTCATTAACATTACTTGGTGCATTATTAAGAATTAATAAACAAAGGATACCTATATTAACATTCCTGATTTTTTAACTATTATGTGTCCTGCAGGTTAGGACAGAGAGCCAGGGGTGAGTGTCTGCTTAGTGACACATTACTTAATATTAAGCAGTCGTTAATACTTTCATAGTTTATTAATGCTTAATAATGCACTAATAATAGCAGCCCTTATTGTAAAGTGTTATCAATATATTTATATTTTCTTGTGATTTTATGTCCTTAACGTATAAAACCCACTCTTTGTTGCTAATGCACTCCGTCCTAAACACAATCTGGTTATTAAAACTGAACTATCTGTTGTATGATGTCAATATAACAACTATATAATTATCAGTTTAATTCAATTGTGTAATTCTCTGAAATTATAACAGCAATAAAGACATTTTGAGCTCGACTCAGGAGGATTTTGACGTCATAGATCAGGGGTGCCCAATCCTGGTCCTGGAGGGCCGGTATCCAGCAGGTTTTGTGGTTTTTCTGCTCCAACAGACTTGATTCAGTGGTTGAAACACCTGTGCAGCAGCTCATCAGACTCTTCAGAAGCCTGTTAATTAGCTGCTGATTGAATCAGGTGTGTTGACACAGAGTTCAAACTATAACATGCAGGATACCGGCCCTCCAGGACCAGGATTGGACACCCCTGTCATAGATGGATTTGATCCTGGGTGTTAGAATATAAATACCATAAATCACTTATTTTAAGTATCAGTGGATCATTCACCTGGTCGCTGATGCTACGGTGACCACGATGGAGCAGGAGGAGGAGCACAAGGTGATGATGATGATGATGGTGAGGATGGTGATGATAGTGACGGTGATGATAGTGATGGTGATGATAGTGATTATGATGATGATGATGATGATGATGGTGATGATGATGGTGATGATGATGGTGATGATGATGATGATGGTGATGATGATGATGATGATGATGATGATGGTGATGATGATGATGATGATGATGATGATGATGATGATGGTGATGATGATGATGGTGGTGATGATGGTGATGATAGTGATGGTGATGATAGTGATTATGATGATGATGATGATGATGATGATGATGGTGGTGATTATGATGATGATGATGATGATGATGGTGATGATGATGGTGATGATGATGATGATGATGATGATGATGATGATGATGATGGTGATGATGATGATGGTGGTGATGATGGTGATGGAATATATTAAAGGTGATGACAAAATGAAGATGGCGATGAGATGATTGTTTATGACACCATGATGGAAAGTAAAGCTAAAAAGAGTTGATGATGATGGTGACAGCATGAAGTCAGTGGTTCATCTGCAAAAATCTCCCAGAATTCATTTTTAACTTTTTAAAAAAATAATAAAAACGAGTCCAAATAATATTAAACAAGTTTTTTTTAACGAAGACATTTTTAGAGGAAAAGATTTGTTGTTTTTCTTTTCTTTTCCTGGCTTTTTGTAAATAATGTAAATTATCTAAGAGTTATAAAACACTGTTTAGAATATTTGCTTTTAAAAAGACAGGAAATGATGATCTAAACGTAGGAAATCCTGAGGCTGTCATTAGGAATCAAACAGAGCTGCAGCACCTTTCCCAGCTGGTGGCGACACGGCTGACAGCTCAAACAGGAAGTTTCATTAGTTTCTTTGTATAAATGAGATAAAGCTGAAATGTGCCAAAGTTACTAATTAAAACCTACCAAAACTGTTGTTGCTGGAGGAGTTGTTGTCTCCATGTGTTGTTGCTGCTGTCCGATTGTCTGCTTTACTAGATGGAGAGCCGGAAGAGGAAGAGGAGGGTGAGGAGGATGCTTTTGCTGTGGAGGAGGAGGCCTTGGATGATGAAGGAGACAAGGTTTTGGTCCAAGCAGCTTTAGATAGCAGCCCTATCGGTTTTCTCACTGTGGGCGTCTGCAGTTCGCTCGTCTCTGTCAGCGAGGAAAGAACTGATGAGAAGGCCTCCTCCTCGCCTGTCTCCCGCCGCAGCATGGAAGCTGGGTCTCCGGGTGTGCCTCGCAGGACGTCCCTTTCTGCCTCGACGGGCCTCCAACTGGCTTCGGCCCAAGCACGAGTTTCGGTCATAATCCCAGCCCCGTCGAAGACGTTTCCACCCGCTGGAGAGCGCGCTCCTGCTCCTGCTCCTGTCTGGACTGCTGTCCTCGTCTCAGCAAACACTTTTCCCTCGGGCCAAGGTCCGGGACCAGCCTCGGGCCCGACGACGGGAGCATCTTTGTCTTCAACGTGAGCTCCGTATCTCAACCAAGGAGTTGCAATCAGGCCGGGCGGCAGCGTGGGGTCCAGAGGTGAGTCGGTCAACAGATAACGATCCTCCTCAGCCGCTGGACACAGAGAAGCAGAGGGATGAACAGGAAATGGTGTTTAACTGGAAGATGTGGACAGCAGCAAGATGGTGGACAGCTGGACTCATCAGTCTGACCAGTCAGACTATAACATCACACACACACACACACACACACACACACACACACACACACACACACGCAGCATGAGTCATTAGATCTCATTAGGCCACGGAAACCCACACCGAGACCTGAACCTGCCCTCACTCTGGAGTAAAACACGCTGCAGCCCCCCCACATCCTCCTCCGACTCACAAACTCATCCAGGGATTAAAATATTCAGAAACTGCGAGCGTCGGAAAGTCATAATACCGCTGAAAATAGGTCACTTATGTTTTTAGAGGATCAAGCATAGGGAATTAATTTTTATATTCCAGGATCTGTGAATTAGGACACACACACGCCCTAATCAGCTGTGATTTCCCAGATCCGTCCGGTGAGCCGCGCAGGCTCGTGGATTTCCAGAATAAACTAAATCATTTCAGACTGGAATGTATTTATTCTCCGAGCAAAACCAAATGATGCGGGACTATTTTTGTACCGTTTGAGTCGTTTTTCACTTTGAAAACCCTGAAAAGAGACATGAATCTGGAACAGGAAGGGGAAAGCTCCGCCTTTAGCTCCATTCTGTGAAGCCTCATCTTTTCAATAAAGCCTGAAGGTTTGGCAGACTGAGGCGATTAACCCGTCTAATGCATTCAATCTCAAAGGCACCTTGCTTTAGTGGAGCTGAAAGATGAGCCGAAGCAAAGCGGGCCATCTGACTGGCATGCTAGCTGCCTTGCTAAGAGGCACCATGTTTCTAACCCGTGTGTCCTGAAACTAGAAGACTCTGGCTTTAACGTGAGCATGTTTTGGAAACAAACGCTGTGCTGTTTTTTATAAAATGTATCTATAAATATCAAATATTAACACTTGCTCATTCCGGTTCACAAACTTCTCAAGCCTGCACGTGTGTGCCGCACGTTTCCCACACTCCCCGAGTCTCTGCGGGGGATCGGTTAATTAAAAGACGATGATTCTGAGCTGGAGAGGCTTTGCAGAACAAGCCCCGAGCTTAGCTGCCGCACATCCTCTGGAAACCTTCTGGAAAGCATTTCAAACGTCATTAACCACCACCGCCGAGCAATCCGTCCCTCGCTACGCCACGTCGCATCATAAATGCCATCAGAGGAGGAAATTAATCCACTGTCAATTCAAGCCGAAGCGTCTTTATGCTCAGGGTCGCGCATCGGGGCTCGGCTAGTCGCTGTCAGTGAGCAGAAAGAGACAACGTTAGAAGTGACAGGGGCAGCGCCTCCGAGCGCCACGGGGTAAGGAACACGCCGACTAAACTTAACCTTAAAGTCATCCTGCTCCTGCTCCTGGTTCTGGTTCTGGTTCGTCTCTTCTCTTCACACCTCAATACAAACGTGCAGATAAAGCATCATTGGGTGTCATGTAATGTGCTCTGTACATGAAATGTGTCATTATTTAAAAAGAATACGGCTTAGAGCAGCAGCGTCATCAGGGCCTGGATGCATCCTTATGGTTAGTATGAAGGTAGATTATTTAACTGGTTTCAAATACCAGCAAGATCTTCAACAACGATCCAGGAAGAACCCAGAACCAGAATCTGGACCACAGTTTAAGTTGTCTTAAAGCAGGGGTGTCCGATCCTGGTCCTGGAGGGCCGGTATCCTGCATGTTTTAGTTTGAACTCTGTTTTAACACGCCTGATTTCAATCAGCAGCTAATTAACAGGCTTCTGCAGAGCCTGATGAGCTGCTGCACAGGTGTTTCAACCACTGAATCAAGTCTGTTGGGGCAGAAAAACCACAAAACCTGCTGGATACAGGCGCTCCAGGACCAGGATTGGGCACCCCTGTAATGTCCATTTTAAGTTATTTAATTTGATTTCACACAATAGTTCATCAGGGTTAGGGTTAAGCACGCTGCAGCGCTGGGATCGATGCAGAAGCTGATTTATCTGCACCAGAGCAGGAGTCCTGCAGGTGTGACATCACCGCGAGATGATTGGATGATTTGTTCCGGGCCAAAAGCAAGGTCGGCCATTAAGGCAGTTCCAGATTTTAGGTCAAATTTCTGTGAAGCGTTTTAAATTATGTTCCAAGGAAATCTTTGCCATGTTCTGTGTCCCTTTGTTCCCCAGCCCCTCCTGTTCCCACTCCAGGCTCTCCTCTTGCGTCCTCCTAGTCACTCCCTGGTTTTCCTAGTTGTCTTTAGATGAGTTCTCCTCACCCATCTGGTTATTAGTGGTTTATTTTTGCCCTCTGTCTTTTAGGGTTAGTTAGATCCATGTTTTATAGGTTAATGTTTATCTGCCCTCCTGTCAAGCTCTTTCCCTTCCCATTTAGCTAATTGGTTCCACCAGTTTCTCCTCAGCTCACACTTCGATGGTTTGATTCTGGATGTGAACATAGATTATTTAGTTTATTTTTTACATTAATGGTATATTTTTTTACAGTAAGATGCCCAAATTTTTATTTGAGACTCGCCGAACGGCATTGAATTCACAGATAAAAAGATGTGGGTTCAACTTTCATTTTGGAACAATTTTTCAAGCAAGGGAAGGGAATGATCTGAGCATGCAGGAGGACTGACCCATCATAAACCTTTGTCGGCTGTGCTGAAGAGAAAGGTACAGAACCACATTATTTAATTAATCAGCTGCACGTTCTCCTGTCCTCTGTCCTCACACACACACACACACACACACACACACACACACACACACACACACACACACACACACAAGGGACTGTCTCAGCTGTTATTTTCGTTATGAAGTGTGCACGTACAGCATGCACGCCTCGTGCACGAGCCTACTATTGAAGCTGCTGTTACGCTTTTGGCCTGAGGGGGCGATCACGAGCATAAAAATTCAAAAGTCCGAAAAGTCCCTTTGAAGGTCTGCTGTTTTTTTAGTTAAATTTTATGTACTTTTCCACTTTTCGTTTGCTTGTTTGTGCCTTTATATTCTTGTCATGTTTTAAACAACTTAGTACTTGCAAATTTTACTAGATTAATATAGGTGGAGGCTTTAAATAAGCTGAATTTGGCTTTTTTTGCCCCCTCCTGTGCTGTTTTTTTTAATATATTTGTTATTCTCAAGGTTTTGATGTACATTTTATTGTGCAAAGAAATAAATTACAAATTACAACTAGTCATGATATTAATTCACACAAAGTGTCAGAACTTTGTTCATTCGTGTGCTAATGACTGAATTATATCATGATGCACAAGGGTTAGGGTTATGTGGGCTGACCTGGTCTACAACCACAGCAGGAAGCAGCTCGGACTCAGATTCAGCCACAGGACAGACGTTCATCTCATCTCGAAGCCTTCAACGTTGTCAGAGAGAGGAGACAGGAGAATCTGGAGGAGTTCCAACACTGCTCAGCTCAAAAGTATTTATAGGAAACACCTTTTCAGAAGGGAATCCCTCAAACAAAACTGATTGTGTTCGTGAAAATGAGGTTAAAAAGGGAAGATGGCTGAAGGAATGAACGAGCAGGAGGGCTGCACCATATGTACGGCTGTGTTTACTCCACCTGCTCTGGCTGGGAGCAGCATATGTGGCTCTGACCAAACACAGGAGAGAGGAACCGCTGCTGGGAACAAATATGGACACGATGGATGGGATGTGGACCAGAATGTGTGGATTAAAGGCGGATAAACGTGGGACCTGCTTTAGCTTTCTGGACAAAACACGCAGGATGTGAGGAACATTGAGCTTAGAGCAGATTATGGGGATCATCACATAGAAATGGTGCACAAAGCACTGCCGGGCCGGCCGTTCGCCAGGCTTCAGGCTGCACCTGACCAGTTCTGACGCCGCTCTGCGGCACAACCCACTTCTCCTAAAGCGGCCGGAGTTTTGCGATTTGGGAGTTTGAGCAGAGCGGGTCAAACAGCAAACACACAGGAAGTGTGATGGTGGATCTACAACAGAACCTCAACCTACAGGACGGAGGAGAATATAACGGTTTTGACTCATCAGTCAAAGGGAAGTGGTGAGAGAACAGGTTTAGATAGAGAGGCAAACTTTTGCTGCTGATTTACATTTCTGTCGTATGATTAAAGTATTTGTAGAAGTCGTCTCGACTGCAGCACAAAGCTGAAATGCCGCTCGTGTTTCATCCAACAGAGAAACTTCTGTCACCAGAGGAATGCTGCGGAAGTCCTCCTTCGTTACAAACACTCCAGACGAGGGTTATTAGATCATTCTGACACAGGTCAAACATGGCAGAGCTATGAGTTAAGGTCATGTCTCAAAGACAGAACAGATACAACTTCTATTGTTTGGTAATGAGTCTGGACCAGGAGGGAGGCTGATGCTCTCACCATGGCAGGAGAACCAGTGGGAGTGAGGATGGGCCTTAGCCAGAAGATTGTGTTCAACACAGAGCGACCGTCCAACAGGATGGACAGTTATAACAATTTCATGGGACTATTTTTGGGATCCTTCTGTCTGTGGAGGCAGGAAACCCTTCAAATGAACTGCTGGATGGATGGATGGATGGATGGATGGATGGATGGACTCTGAAATGACAAATAACTTGTGATTCTTTCTCTAAATTTTTCCAGCAGTTCAGCTGAGACTCTGATGTCCCACACGTCCCGTTTCCACCCCTCCTCACGTCCCCAGTTAGAGACACAGCTAAAGTGACCCATAATCCTCTCTGATTTTCTCCTTCTGACAGATTCCTTCAGAAACGTCACGATTCTTCTGCTTTGAACTCAACACTCTGGGTGTAAGAACTTTTGATGTGATTTGGTCTTTGATCTTTGCTTATATTGCAGACATTTCTGTATGTAAAGTCAAATATAAGCTTTTTATGTTTGCTTTGAACAGTATTAAAGACTTACACTGACCTCATTTCCCCTTCACCTTGTAAATATGAAATAATGTAATGTAATATAATATAATATAATATAATATATTATAATATAATGTAATGTAATATAATATAATA